AACTGCAGCATCAGCAGCATACAGATGTCATTTGCTGAGCTCTCTGTGCCGGGCTCTATGTGAGTGCTTTACATTTATTAATGAATGTAATCCTCACACTTGCTGAGACATGCACAAGTATTATTCCTATTTTACAGTAAGGGAAACTGAGATACACGAGGCTCACTACTTGCCTAGGATCACACAACTGTTAAGTGACAGATCCAGAACTCAAACCAAAACCCTCTTGAGACAGGGTTTAGAGGGTGGATAAGCTGGCTGGGGAAGGTGATCTGTTAACATGACCTGTTAATTACACAGATCCCAGAACAGATGCGTGGAACACTTCCCAAAGCCTTGCACGTGGACTTCTTGCGATGCCTGGAGCTGACAGGAGCCCGAGGCCCAGTACCTCAGCACTGCCTCTCAGGACTTGCATGGAGAAATTCTCTTGGGTTTTCTTGAGATTCAGACAGTAGAGAGGACTCAGACACCAAGAAAAGCTTGCTATCATGACTTTTCTCACAGTAGCCCCTTTTTACCATGGTGTCCTTTTATGATTTTTCTCCTTTTACGAGACCCAAACTCACTCTGCAGAGCCAGTTTCCCCCTCATTCCTCACCTTCTTGAATAAAACCTCACTATACTTTTTGCTCAGTGCTGTGTTTGAGACAAGAAAAACCTGGAATCTTAACTCCAGAGGGAGAGGCAAGTAACCCAGAACCTGGTAGCCGGTGAGCCACTTTTAGAAGGAGTTGTCTGCTAGCATTCTGATTCTAGAGACTGGGCTCAAGGACACACTAGTTGGCGACCTGGGTTTTCGGTATGAGAAGACAGACGGGGCACTGTGTCACAGAGAGGAGAAGAGAGACTGAAAATAACCACAGCAAAATGTGCATGAGTTAGGTGTGGTGGCTTACACCTATCACCTAGCTACTTGGGAGGCTGAGGTGGGAGGATCACAAGTTTGAGGTTAGTCTGGGCAACTTAGCAAAACCCTGTCTCAAAATTTAAAAAATGAATACAAAAATGGGCTAGCAATGCAGCTGAATGATAGAATGTTTGCACAGAATGTGTGAGGCCTTGAGTTCAATCCCCAGCACCACAGAAACAAATATTTGTGATACAGTCACCTTCCTTAAAATTTACACACGTTCGTGCATGTACTCATAAAGACGGGTGAAAAGATGGCTTCTAAAATGTCTCAGGACAGCTGGATTCTAAGTGACTTATCATCTTTTGTAATTTATATACAATTCAAGGATCCTTCAAGGAGCCTGAAGGATTGTTCGATACGGCAGGAAGAGAAATAATGAAATAAAAGGAAAATATACAAGGCGGGGGAGAAGAGGAGGTCATGATTGTTTTGAACAGAAGGGCCTCACGCTGTCCTGGGTTTTATCACTAACACTTTGGTGATAGTGCAAGAGATGAAAGAGAAAAATATTCCACAACAAGAATGAAAAAAATGATAATCACTAACATCTGTGAGACACATGAATCATTTCCCTTTTGGCTGATGGGAACAGCGCTACTGTCAGGGTAACTGGATTTTAAACCCATGCATTCATCAGCCAATGAGTGGAGAGACAAATTGTGTATCCACACAAAGGAATATTATTCAGTCATAGAAGAGGTGAAATGCCAACACCAGTAGACGGTGCATTATGGAAAATAACCTTGAAAACATACCAACTGCAAGTCAGATGTAAAAGGTCACAGGTTAGATAATTCTACTTATATGAAATATCCCAAATAGATAAGTACATAGAGACAGAAAACAGATTGGAAGGTGACAGGGACGGAGGGCGGAATGTGGAATGACTACTTAATGGGTGCAAAGTTTTCTCTTAGGATGATGAAGATGTTTGGGAATTAGACACGGTTCCTGCTATGATTTGGGTGTGGCTTGAGTATCCATGGGGGGTGGCACTGGGAGTGTCGATGACTTGGTCTATAGGTGAGGCTGTACAGAGATGGCGGAACCCTTGGAAGCTGGGTCCTAAACTCCCTAGGGTGAGAGGGCTGTAATAAAATGAGCACACCTGGCCCTGGAAACCAAGGCACCCAGAGAGGGCCTGGACCAATCTGGGCCAACCATCCTCCTGCCTGCTCCTGGGTTGGGATGTAGTCACTGACTTGTCCCTGCATGCTCCCATCATGAGATGAAGCAGCTAGTGGGCTGCGCTCTCTATAGAGTCCACACTATGCTGTTTGGACTTTGAGCCTCCAAAACTGTGAGCTAAATGCCTGGTAAGCAGTCTGTGTAAGATAATCCATTACAGTGATACAAAGCTGACTAACACAGCTGCACAACAGTGTGAACATACTAAACGCCCCCGAGTCACATACTTTTAAATGGTTAAGTTTGTTATACGAATTTTGGCTCCACTTAAACAAAACCCAACTCCCTTTTAACTTAAAAGTTCTGAGAAAATGGAAGGGCAAACGACGGGAACAGAGGCAAATAGATCCAAGAAACCCCAGTAAATGAGGAAAAGCGGAAAGCAGCCAGTCTAAGAAGACGTGGCCTTGTCAGAAGCAGAGAGGGTCCCTTCTCACACAGGGTGGACCCAGCCCCCTGGGAGGTAAGCAGGACGTCCAGGGTGCACCTGAAACCTCAAGGTGCCATGAGTATTTACCACAACATCTACCATCTTAGAAGATCTGTGACAGCGTGGTTGTCACATTTGTGGGTGGGTGGATGGAGGGTTTCTATTGCCTAAAGTACATAAGGCAAAAAAGGCTGAGGCCAAGACTCAAGGCCCTCATTGATGGATGCAGAACCCGTGCTAAGCCTTCCCTTGGTTGGCCACACAGACGGTAGCCACTTGCGGCCAGCTGTTGCCCTCTGCATTGGCGGCCTTGCTCCTGGCCATGCCCCTGGCCTTACTCACAGCCCCTGGCTCAGAACAGGTGACAGTACATGCATGTGTTGACGAAATGCACATCTTCTGTTTCATTTATTTAATCAACTGATTTATATTTTTAATACATAAAAACACAGATATGGTATAAAATCCAAAAGCCTCCAAGGGTTACACAGTGGTATGTTCCCTTTCTTCTACCCTGTCATTCTTTTTTTTTTTGTCTTTTTCATTTTTATCAGTACCAGGGATCGAACTCATGACCGCCTGCTTGCAAGGCAGGTGCTTATGCCACTGAGCTAAATTCCCAGCCCCTACCCTGTCATTCTAAAATATTTGATGTAACATTCAGTGCTGTCTCCATCATTTAAATGTGAGTAATGGGCACCATTCTGAACTGCAGAGGCTCCTGTGACCAGATTACTCGGTGACCTGAGCATCAGGTCACCACTACAAGGTGGAAGCCACATGTGACATCAAGATGAAAGTCATCTGAGTGAAAACAAGGTCCTGGGATTCCATGCATGGAGGAAGCACACACCATGGAACTAACTGCCAGCTTGCAGAGGAATTCTGCTAAGGTGACAGCCATCCCCCACAGCCATTCATGGAATGACAAGCCCATGGGCAGGGGCCATGCAAGCTGGCCACCTCGGGCTCCTCACACTGTCTCAGACATGACACAAAGGCTACACTGCTACATGAGGGGATAAAAGCAGACATGCAACCCACACCCACTGTGGCCTAGGGAGGTGTCCAGTCGTGTCTGAAAGGAGGAAGTTCACCTTAAAAGAACTCAACCGAGAGCTGGGCACACTGACCCCAAAGACAGGCCGTGTAGCAGACACACTAGTCCGGAGGAAGTAGCCCTGGAAACCAAGGCACCCATCGAGGGCCTGGATCAATCTGGGCCAACCTCCACCTGCACTGAGTTCTGGGGGTGCAGGCCACGTGTTCCAGGGCATCCTGACACGTGGTCACATCTAGCCACATCGTGAGGGTTTGTGTGTGCCTTTGTTGTTTTGTTTTTGGGAAGGCTGAGTAACTATTGCCCCAAGTAGTCACCAAACCAAAGACTAAAAAAAGATTCAAGCTATGCAGGCTCATCTGTTCCCAAGGTTCCTGCCTAATGTGGCCATGCACGGCGGGCTACAGGGTGAGGCGAGTGCTTATCTGATTTCAGCCAATCTGTTACTGTATTTCATTCCCTGTTCTTGTGCCCAGAGGCTGTTGCAATGGGTATAAATTTAGAAAGAGACAGATGAGTAACATGGAAAAGTTCATTTTAACAAAATGGAGTCTCTCTCTTTCTTTCTTTTCTTCCTGTCTGTCTGTCTGTCTGTTCATTTTTCTAAAGAGAAGATAAAATGGTTTCCTTACAGGGGGTTGGGGATTTAGCTCAGCGGCATAAGCGCCTGCCTTGCAAGCAGGCAGTCGTGAGTTCGATCCCTGGTACCGATAAAACAGAAAAAGACAAAAAAAAAAAAAAAAAGTGGTTTCCTTACTTATTCAGCCCTACCATGGTGCAATCTGGTACTCTGGGCAGGAACTTAATAATACATAACCATAGCCCAGATGAACCAGCTCTGGCTGCAACTGTAACCGTTGAGCTCCCACCCTGAGTGCTTCCCAGAAGCTAAGAGGATGAGAAGATGGTGGCATCTTATACAATCTATAATCTAGGAGTATCTTGTGACCAAGTAAAATCCCCTAAATAAAGTCAGCATCTACCTCACCTGAAACGTCCCCACCAACCAACACATGGCACATGTGCCTCAAACTGCCAAGTCGCCAGGAGTCCTACACTGATATTTTAAGTGAAACTTTTAACAGGAAATTAATATCGCAGATGCACGACTCTGGTTATGATGGAAATTACACGAGAAGAGAAACTGCCTAAAAAATGCCACCCTCCCCTCCCACACACTCACAGCCTTGGGAATGATGGACCATGTGTAGTGAGAGCTTGCTGATCAATCCCACCACCTTATCATTTAGCCTATTTCCTTTTACAGACAGGAAGCCAAAGCTAAACGGCTGGACCAATGTCAGAAGTTTGGCAGTGATAGAGGGGGCCCGGGACCAGGTCTCATGGCTCCTGGAGACATACAGCCCCCACAACCTCCGGAAGCTACCCAGGCCTGGCAGTTATACCTCTGATAGCATCTCATACTGGCCCCTTCTTCCAAGAGCAATGGTCAGCAAATCGTAGACCACAGACGCACTCTGCAGACTGATGAGGCGGTCACTTTTGTGCTCTGGTATCCTGCTCAGCACAGCGTCCCGGTTGGCCTGAAAATGACATGGAAGAGAGAAACAGATGGAGAGCCAGCCCACGTTCACCACCGTCACTGTGTAGAGAAGCCAGCTAGGCCCTCCCGCTCCACATGATTTGCCTTCTGGAGGACAGAAGCAAGTAAAGGGCCTGTCACCTCGGGTGATGTATGCAAAATCCCTGGAGCATCATGGCACATGGTAGTGTGAACCCAGCAGTCAGTCTCTGGGGAAGCTTTGGGGCTAACACAGAGCAGGGAGTGGCCCTTGGTCTCAGGCTCAGAGAGGTCCTTGTGGCAGACACACACAGCAGCAGGATCCATCCAGTGGGAGCCAGCTATGCCTCCTTGTGTTCCTGCTTCTGTGCTACATTCCAGAGTGGGAGAACATTGTTGGCCCTGCATTTCCAACTACCTTATGGCGTCGGGGAGTTCTGTCTAACCCATGGAGATACGTCAGACTTCTCTATCACTGAGCAACATTCAAATTCCTGTATGGTGTCTTCACAGAAGAGACCTCAAAGACTAATTCAATCTTGTAAAGGGAAGCACAAGACTGAGATGTATGACAAGACAAGGAGGAACCTGAGCTTGCCTTTAAATATTGCCACAGAGGCCTGAAGAGAGCACCTTGCTACCTTCAAATCTGAGTGCTGAGCGCTCAAACATGTCAGGTGTATCCAAGCTCACTCCAGAAGTCAAATGCTCCTCAGAGTAACTTGACTCAACGGCCAGCTTATTTTCCATTTAGTTTTTGTACTAGGGTGTTCTGAATCAATATAGTTAAATTTTCCCTCTTGCTAATTAACAGAAGTCTTCAGGCCCATTTGGCCCTGGAAGCAGAGAAAGGGCCCCTAGTCTCCTGTGAAAGTGGCGGCTTGTATTTCCAGAGTCACTTGTCCCCCGGGCTGATGTTTATCTTCCTGCCTGACATTTGCAAAGGCCATGGGCATCCCTTTCTCTTGCTAATGAGGCAAAAAGCTTTCTTTCTGTGTGAGTCTAAGGCATTTACTTCTAGCCACCCAACAGAAATTACTCACTGTAAAACTCCTGGCTCTTAAATGTCAGAAACAAATGAGAATATCTAAGACAGGCCACTTCCTACAAGGTGAGTCATCTCTTATGGAAACAAGCCTGCTTTTGAAGATTTCATTCGAAGTTTTTCATTACACAGTGCCCAACAAAAGGTACCCTAAGACGCCTGCTGTAAATGGTCTCCCTTTATTTATTTGCTTATAAATGTTCCACACGGAGACCAATGCCTAGAAGAGAATAAAATGAAATACAACAAATACTCTCTGGGAGAGATTTTCAAGTGTATCAAATACATTGCTTTTTGTTTTGTTTTTTGTTTTTTTCATTTTCAGAGAACATATTAGTTGATTTTGAATAAAAAGATATTCTATCACCTCAAGCAGATCCACAAATAATACAGATGCCAAAATATTGTTTCAGTGGTAGTTATGCAAACATAGTTCTGATAATCTCTTTTTCTAGGGGAAATTTGCTATGCAGTGAGAATGCAAGTATAATCCCAAATGATTTCTTGGAGGTGGAGAGACGATAGATAAATTTATGCTTCTAAAGTCAGAACCAATGAAGAATGTAATTCTCTCAGATATTCAAAAAGCTTGGCAACTTTCAGTTTGATTCTGTGATTGAGCACCATCATTTTTTTGCCTAAAAACTGAAAAACCAAGTAGTCAAAGGGCATGGAATAAAAGGTGCCTAAGAACAACTTAATTTTGGAATTATTCACAGGGAGAACACTATCATTTCGGTTGGGACCCTAGTTCTTCATATTTACCAAGGATGTCACTGATTTCACCATCACCTAAAAATATCTTTCCGAAATTTAAAAAAAAAAAAAATCAGATGTGTTGGTGGCTTGAAAATAAAAGAATAATTAAAAAAAAAAAAGATCTTTCCAGAAATTAAACACCACAGAGTCGAACCTGACTGTCTCAAAGGGTTCGTCAGTATTATCAGTTTTTATCTCTTTCATTAAGGAGCAGGACATCACTCCACAGCATTTGCACTACACCTGGAGCAAGTGTTGTACAGGTGTGGCCATGTTTTCAAAATTACAGACTGGAACACGTGACCAGGCGAGGCAGCAGAATCATCCAGTCATCTAGAAAGTCTGGTCACTGTTAAGAGTTTTTTGGCATCAAAAAGGAGCAGAATTTAAAAAAAAAAGTATTCCAAGGGCGTGGAGAGGAGCCCACAACCAGCAGCTGTCTGGGTTTTCTAGGGCCTGGATTTGGGGTACGGGGTATAGGCATTGATGACACAAAGAACTGATTGGAATTTTCTTCCTGTGCACTGGGAAAGGGAAAAGGAAGTTGTAATAGGGGAAGGAGGAAGTGACCTCAGAGTAAACAGCCCCGATGTGGCCTTCCACCGCCATAATGTCCTGTAATTTATTCTAGGGCAAACCTCTTTCAGTCACCAAGTATTCAGAATGAAGTTTGCCCCATTTTAACTACGTTATAAAAAGTCCAGCCCAGGGTGAGTAGATATTAGCTTGGAGACCCATGGGAGCTGACCCTCACTGATAAAGTGGTGACCAAGTAGGTGAGACTTGTTCACTTGAGAAAGACTGAACACCACCAAGTGCCAGCCTGGCCACCTATGTATCGCCCCTGAGTGTGCCAAGGCAGGGCGGAGAATATAAATGATACTGCCCTAAGGTGCAGCTGACAGTCAAGGAAAGATGAGCCAAGGGGGCAACCTGCTTCCTGGGAAGAAAGGAGCCCTCTGACGTCAAGCAGTCCAAGTACCAAGCGGTGGTAACTCAAGGAGTCTGGCTCTTGGAAACATCGCCGTGCCACTTCCCCAAACAAAAAACTCAGTGTTAAACCAAGGCAAGAAGGCTACCCTCCCTGACCGACATGGCCTCTGATGATCCCACCTTCTCCCAGCACACATGCGTTCTTTTGGTACAGTATGTCCAGGGCTTTTTCCCGAGTGTATTCCACACCTCCAATTAAACCCCACGCTTGGCCAGGGATCATGGGAGAAGGGACACCCCTTCTCTTGCTTTCCTTTTGATTCCCTTTTTAGTCTGCTGCCTGGATGCACATCATGGCAGGGTTGGGAAAGAGTACAATCTATAGGAAGAGCAGATTTCTGCACCATGCATGAGTTTTGCCTGCTCTGGGTCACAGATTCCTCATCTGTAAAAGGAAGTGAATGAATGTGAGCCCCCTTGGTCCTTTCAAGTTCCAAGAGCCTGATACTCTGCTCAGGTGCTCAGCACCCATCGTTTGCCTAGGTTGTTGGCATATTATCCCCAAGCTTGGAGACTGTAAGGCTTAATGTTGGACAGAGGAGAGACCCAGCAAACGGTGAATGATGCAGCTTTAGATCTCAAACTTCCACATCCTGCCAAAATTCAGAAAACATTTAGAAAGAATCTGATGGTCTGGCAAACACAGCAGAGCCCAGGAGCAGGAGTGAGCTCAGGCAGGCCTGAGCTTCTGCAGTGCCTGGGAACAGGCAGGAAAGTGCAGAGCTCACCAGCACAGAGGACCAGGTGGTTTCTTTAGGCTCCCGTGAAGAAAACTGGAGATTTGCAAGTCCAGGGAGTGATTTACCCCAGCATTCTTTTCATACCACTGCAACTGAGAAGGCTTGAGAAGGTTCCCCATCAGGGGCTTCTCTCTCTTGCAAGGTTCCTTTGTGGTCTTCTTAACTATATAGTCTACTTATATAACTAATCTAGTGTCACCAGTGGTAAATGAATGAACGAACTAAGATACCTGCTAATTGTTAAGCTAATTGTCCAAGCTCCAGGATGACCAAGGGACATGGCCTCCTAGTCCAAGAATTAAGAGTCATCCCTCTTTTTAAACTTCTACTGCTTCCTCCCCAACCCAGGCACTCCCCCTAGAAAGCATTTTCTCCTGAAAAAAAAAATCACCATATCAAGGGACTGATCACAGTTAAAAAGGGACTCTAGGGACAGGGGACACAACAATGAAATACACATTCCACTTACCATTGATTCACTAATCAGCAGTAACAACAGGGCCTCTTCAGTATTTTCTTGAGGACAAAAAATGCTGCATAAAGAAAACCAACTTTGATATACGGTTATTTCAAAATAACACAAAATGTACAACCACAAGTAGACCAGGATGCTAAAAGTGTCTCGATTTTTAGAAAGTCCAAGAAAAAAATGCTATATAATTTCAACACTTGAATTTTCTTATTTTTTCTGGAAATCTATAAATTAATACATTTTAGCTATATATTTTAATGGTAGGTAGAGGGTGAAATAATGCTGTTTAAAAAAAAAGTTAAAAGCCTAAATAACACATGTACCCAAAACTGAGGCAGAAATTTAGATTTCTACAAACTGACATTATGTAAATAATACCAGCTTTTGCTTAAACCCATTATGAGAGCATAAACTGTAGACATTTCACCAAATAGCACTCTCCTTATCTATCACCTACTAAGTGGCATATTTTATATTATCATTCAAATGAAATAAAAGATTGGAAGTAACAGTGATTTCACTAATCCTGCAGGATCTGGTGAGTTATCTTAAACACATTTTCTACTAAGGGGTGGCATGCAAGAGCTGTCTCATTAATCTATTTTATGGAATTTGGCTGAACTCTAAAATCTTGGATTAAAAGAAAAAGCTTTTAAGCTCAATGTTGCTGAGGATTAGAAAAAAATTAAAATTAAAAAACCCAAACATAACCCCAATCTGTACTCCCTGTTTCCTATTTTTTATGCTGTGAGCACTTTTAAAGACTTGCAGCATTTTTTTCTTCTGGTTCTAAAACCCTAGTATCCTTTGAGTAGAATCAAGAATGTTATCATCAATTGGCCCAGACTCAACTTTTCTTGAGAGCATAGAGTTTGCAATAAATACAAACAATCTTGACTCAAAAACTCATGGATATTTTGAAGACCACTAAATAAAGACTGAATTTATATCTTTCTAGGAATAACATTACAATCACTTAGGAGATTTCTTCCCCACAAAAGGTGAAACCACCATATTTTCCAAATAATTATAAATACTTGTTATTTTTGAAATGCTGTCTAGTTTTGTACTGTATCACAAGGCACTTCAGAGGGAGACAGAAAAGAGTATAGTGTCTGGTCCTCTTATGGCAACTGTGACATCGCAGGCAGGGATGTTTTTTCATTGCTGTAGCCATGATCTTACAGCAAGGCTGGCCCAGCCCTCGTGAAGGATTCTGGGGCTTGAGGCTACTTCCTTCAGGAGTTGGCTTACAGTGACCTGATTTTTTTCAGAAGATACATTTCTTTCCCCTTGAAATCAGAAATAGACTCTAAAGCCTTTAAATTAAGAGTGTCCCCCATAGGTATGTGCACATCCAGCAATCACTTCCTGATAGTCTGGCTGTGCCTACATGCAATGGGGACCTTGTAAATAAATAATACAGTAACGTTAATCATTTTTTTCATATATAGCCAGTTCTGCATTGTTCAGACTAATTGCAGAGCGGGCCTATGCTAATTGTGACTTAACACTAGCCAATTCAGTCCATGGATAATCTCCAAATTCCATTTGAGCCATCCAGCCTGGTGAAACACTGGGTTGTGTTATTTTTACCAGAGTTGCTAACAAGTAGCGCATTAACTGACTCTAATTCCACTTCCTAGGCCCTCCCTATTGTAACAGCAGGATGGTTACTCAGCGCAGCAGAGGGAGGAGGGAGAAGAAGGGAGAGAGAATGGTTTTAAGAGACATAACCAAAAACCTATATACTGGACTACTGTCCTTTCTTTCCTTATGAACTCTCGAGCTCCATCTCTGGCCATTCATTCTCTCTTCCTTGCTCTGACAAGAGGGGAGGAAAGGGTCATGGTCAAATTCACTGAGGCCTTGCTTTTGTGACATTCTCCTTTTTGAGGCCCAAGAACCTCAGAGGGGAGATCCTGCACTACTAAGCCCCAGATTTGGAAAGTGGGAAAGCCAGGGCTTTGGTTCTAAAGGAAGTTTCTCTGAAAGGCAAGTGTGGGCAAGGGCACAGCAAGAAGCAGGGACCAGTAGGCAGTCAGGACAAGCTTCCAAAGCAGCCTGGTTCAGGGGTGGAAGTGCCAGGGCTGCTGCTGGGCTGAGCGTGGGAGGGCTGCGTGCCAACTAGTCTGGTAGGGCACAAGGTGCCCTTTAGGGAAACTGCCTGTCTCCTCACTTTGGATGAACTGGCCAGCTTATGATGTGACTCCATAGAGGACACAGGGAACAAAGGTGTGGACCTTATGTGCAAAGAGTAAGCATGTCTTGCCAGGCCTTCCAGATAATAGTTCTTTCTTGAAATTTTCTCCAACTATGTCAAAAATGATGTTGTTTGTGGTAGAAAAAAAAACTCATATCAAAGAAATTAACTCAACCACATCCAATTGCATTTCGTCTCTTCCATCATCTAGAGCTACTGCATGACAAACGAGAAGACAGAGGTCTAAATATTTACAGCACCACCCAGAAGTCAGAGCGACTCCACTTAGGTGTAGGGAAGGCTGAGCTCTGCCAGCCCACAGAGCAGAGGGTTTCTAGTAATGACTCCAAGGCGGCAGCAGAGATGTACAATGCACCGGACATCATGAGGGAAAATGCTGAATATGAGGCCCCTGCAGGAGCCAGATAAGAGCCCAGGAGCCAAGCCCCACCATGGCTTCACACTGTGCTAAGCACATGGAGGCAGAATCCACCATCAGGGTCCCATCTGGGTAGAGAGGAAAAGGATTTAAATTACAATTAAGAATGCCTGTCACGGTTATATCTGGATGTCCTCCCAAAGCCTCATGTAGTCATGGGGTGGGGTGGGGGGGCGCTTTTTGGAAGCAGCTGAAGCTAGGGTATGTGATTGATTTATAATGCAACGCTGGGATTAAGGGTGAATGACTGCTGGATCAGTCCACTGATTGGACTGGCACCGCCCTAATCCTAGCCTGAGTGAAAGGGGCACAAAGGGGTCTGTTACTACTCCTTTTGCTCTTATTGCTTCTGTTACCTTCTGCTGCCATGAATTGTTGCCCCTCTGCCTTGCGGCCAGCCGATTATGCACTGAAACCTCTACAAAATGTGAGCTAAATAAACCTTTTCTCCTTTAACATTGAGTGTTGGGCATTTAGTCTCAGCAGTGAGAAAAGCAACCACGACACAAATTTGTACCAGGATTGGAGTCACTGATGTGATGCTCCCTGGCTGAGTGGCTTAAAAGCCTTGGGTATTAATTTGGAAAATTTTTTGAGACTGGCTGAAAAGGCAGCCCCCGTATGTTGTAAACTGTATGGGAGACTCTGGTTGGTGCCTGGAAAATCAGAGCACTGATGAAAATGCTGCCAGTTAAGCTGAGGCTCAGGAGGCTCCTATTGAGAAGGACTCCATTGGTTGCTGGATCCCAGGTGACATACATTGTGCTTTGGCAGCAAACTAGTCTGCATTTTGTTGGTGTTTAGAGATATTTCCTGGGTGGCAGAAAAATTTCAATGTAGTCTACTGTTGGGATGGTGGCAAAGTTAATATTTAGATCTTTTGGCCAGATCTATTCAAAATTAAAAGCAAAGAACCAGAGGGTAATTTGAAGCATTTGGCCAGAGGGAAGACTCCATGGAACTGTGAGTTGTAAGAATGAAACAGGAGAATGTGGTTGTTGAGAAAGAACAGAACAATGGGGAAAAAAAACTGAAGCTTTTCACCTAAAGGGAAGAATGTATTTGAAAGGCAGGAGATTCCTGATTTTCAGTCTTACCATGCCCTGCTGTTAAAAAGTTAATGGGAAGGAAAGGTTGTAATTTGTAATATATCTTTTAATATGATTTTAATGTCATTTTCATATCCAGGGTTGTAATCAGGTTAATTAGTCAAAGTATTGTGGTTTTAACCTGGAATTTTGCTTTTGATGTAGAAATAAGTGTAGTAAGAAATATATGTGTGTGTGTATATATATATATATAAACATTGTAGACATGTTAAGACATGTTAACTTTTCACAAACATGCCACTGGGAAAGTATGGTTTAAGGAAATGTGCCAGGTGTGAAACCAGGGTTGGACTGAGGTGAATCAACTAATGGTCAAGCTGTAACACCCAGCTGGACTGAGTGTGGCAGGGTGTAGAAGGCCCACCTGAGGACTGCTGCCAACAGCATAAACAGAGAACTGGCGAAGGTGCTATGCTGCTGATTCTGGAGAAGCTTGTCGTGATGGCTTCCTCATATGAACTCAGCTGTTCTCATCCTGGAGGAGCTCAGGACCTTGCTGTCACTGAGGATGGCAGTGGTTGTTTTTGGGGGATCTCTGGTCCTTACTTTGAGCCACTTCCTAGCTCTGGTGCAGACACTCAGCCTATTAGTCCAGATCCTTTACCCTGTTGGTGCAGACTTTCTAGTCTCTATCTCTGATCTTTGGGCCTTCCCAGTGAAGACCCTTGATACACACTTGTGTGAGACATTGCTGTGGGCTCTAGGCCCCCAGTTGGGCTTGTGGAGGACATTGCCATGGGAATCAGGCCATCAGCTGAATTCTTTGGGTTTCTAGTGGGCAGATCTCCTGCTCTCATTAGCATTTGACTCTTTGGATGAATACTATAAAATAATCCTACAAATTACGTATCCTGTATTAAATCTATTCCCTTGCAAGCCCTGACTACAACAGTGCATCTTGGTTATTAGGAATCACTTGGTTCAGCTTAAGAGACTGGACCTCCACATGATCCTTCCCTGTTGGATCAACTCACACAAATCAATAATCCCTTCATGAAAAAGGGCAATCAGATAGGTGCTCTGAGCTCTGCCCTGAGCAGGCATGGGGGTGAGTCCCACAAAGTCCACATGCCCTACCCCAGGCATGGCTCCTGTATTCTTGGGACCCAGAGGTGAGCCGGGCTTGCCCAGGGTGACAGGTGGCCACTCACATGGCTTTGGTTCTGCCCCAGGGCTGTCTATCATCCTAACACTGCAATGCCCTCATCTTTCCACCTGAACCAGCTCCAACCTTACTAGAAACCTCTGTGTGGGGGAACAGGGCTTCAAACCCATGCTTAGCACTAATGGCGGGCACCTTCTCCTCGAAGGTCGCCAGGCACTCGGTGGCACCCTACTGACATTTTCATGTTCTGCTTCCTGGCCCAACACTAGTTTTAAGTCTTGTGCTTTGCTTGTGCTAATCATCCACTCCAACATGCACTTAATTATCTAAGGCAACATACATTTTTATAAGAAGGCATACAATGAATGAAAACATACACCTGACAGAAACATGCATGCACACATACTAAGATATGTATCAAGAGCATTTGCAGCAGCACTATCCCCATTAGCTCCAGATAGAAAAGGAAACAGCTCAAGCCATCATAATCAATCATCAGTATTGCAGAACTGATCCACGGAATACTATGTAGCAATGAAAACAAATCACTACTACCTGCAAAAATATGAGCAAATTTTTCAAATGTGTTAGACAAAAGAAGTTAAACATAAATGAGGGCATATTGCACAATTCCATTTATATAAATTTCTTTTTTCCATAGTGTTGATGCAACAACGAGTTATTAATTTTTTATTTGGAGACAGGGTTTCATTATGTTGCCGAGCCTGGTCGACCCTCATTGCTTCAGCCTTCTAAATTCTGGGACTATAGGTATGTGCCTCTGCACCCACCTTATATACATTTCTAAAATAAGCCAGACTCATTATTGTTCTACATGTGAAGACAGCTGCCCTTGGACAAAAGTAGTAACTGTGAGAAAGTACAGAGAGTCTCTAGGGCTCCAGTAGTAATGTCTACTTCTTGACCAGGATGCTTATGACATGGATGTGTTCATGTAGCTAAAACTCATCAAATTTTATACTTCTCTGTGTTTCTCCTTCCCTGTTTGTTCTGTTTCAATAAGACACCTAAAAATAAGTAACCCAAAGAAGAAAGGAGGCCTATGACAGGTGATCTCTCCCCTCTGCCTACTCAGCATCTGCCAATTTTATTTCCCCTCAAAATTCAAGAGGTGCAGAGAACTCGCACTCTGTTTCAATTCCACTGTGATTGTGGGACAGGAAGGGAGCTCGCTGGCGGAGCTTGCTTTTCAGGTGCACCCCATCAGGATCAGTGTTACAAATGGGAAGTCTTGTGTCTCGCCTGCGCTTCATGCTCACACTGTGAGTAGGAGACCAAGTGCAAGGGAGGACCTGGGACTGTTGGCTCTGACAAGACTTAAATTGAGCACTATCCACAGACTCCCTCTTCCACCTCCCAATCAGCACCAGTGATGGTGTTCTTATGTCCCATTGCTGACCAATCAGATTACCCTGCTCTGGTAATGCGAGAGCCCCAAACATGGAACCAGTTTTTTTCCTTGTACTGATAGTCCAAGTAAGAATCAGGATGGGGAACACATGAAACTAGAAAGTTGATAATTAATGAAGGCATAAAGATTAGCATGGGAATTTGACAGTAGAATCTCAATAGAGAAACTAAACAAAACCAAAAGTTAGCTTGTTAAAAGATCAACAAACTGACACATCTTTACTTAGGCTGACCATAAAAAAGAGAAAAATCACTACAATGAGAAATTAAAGAGAGGACATAACAACCAATTTGGCAGAAAGCAAAAAATTTATAATACAGTAAACAGCTGTAGATAATCAAATTAGGCACTTTAGATTTCTAGAACTTTCTAGAAATACACATACTACTAAAACTGACTCAAGAAGAAAAAGAGAATATGAATAGACCTATGTCGAGAAATTGCATTAGTTTTCAAAAAAGTCCCACCAAGAAAAGCCCAGAACCAGATAATTTCACTGTTAAATTCTATGAAACATTTAATGGAGAATTAGTATCAATTCTCCAATAAATGCTTTTAAAAAATAAAAGAAAAGGAACTACTCTAACTTGTTTTATAAGGTCTGGTATCAAAATCCAGGAGGTTACAAGGAAACTATAGAACAATATGTTATTGTTATAGATGTAAAAATCTTCAACAAAATACTAACGCAGAAAATGGATTATGTACCACTTCAAATCTGCTTCTAAATAGTTCATCCTAAGAGATGAGCATTTTTGCAGTGAGAGCTTGAGAGCTGCTTGAACAGATGATTTAAGAAACCATATAAGAACTAAGGAGTAAATACAGTCCAAAAATTAAATGAACTCATGGTTCAACAAGGCCATGGAAAGTGGAGGGTTAAAACTAAATTAAAATACACTTCAGGAAGAAACCAGGAATATGCTCTGTATCAGAACCCATCTAAGAAAAGCAAACTGAACACGAAGGTCATAAGGGAGAGATGCTAGCAGTCAGCTTCAGAGGATTAAGAAGTGGCAGTCTGGAGAAAAGCCACCCAGCCATTTTCAGATGTCGCTTGTGGATTATCTGGTAGGCCCATCTCTCAGCACTTTCTGCAGGTTTCAGAAGCAGCTGTCCACAGCCTCTCTGCCATTTGTCCACTTCAGTGACACTAAAGAGGTTTTCCACATTCATTCATGTGTGGTCCCCTTTCCTTTGTGTAAAGGTCACTGTGCCTTGTCCTTACCGCACCACACAAAGAAGGAATTCGGGCCTCTGACAGGAGGTACTAGGACCCAGGAACAGACTGCCCTGGCTTCTGGCCCTTCCTATTGTTTCCCCTTCCCTTGTCCTCCCGCCCTGACCTGGGGACACTGAGGCTTAAGAAGAAGTGGCTCTCTGGTCTATTTTCCCCAAGTTGATCAAATCCTGGATTTAAAGCTTAAAAAAATAAAAAAACATTTAAAGGGACCTTACCTTCTAATCAGTGGCAAACTATTTAACCTTCCTTTTATTTAGATTGACTTATAAGATTATTTAAACAAAAGCATCAAGGAATTGCTGAAGAAAAGAAAACATGCTTGCTCCGACTACAACGAGCTGGCTGGCTTGTTAGGTTAAGTGGAATGAGAATCCATAGATCAGTGGTGGAAAACCTTTTAAAAAATGAGCACCTCAACTGCACCCAAAACCCACAAGGTCCCAACCCTGCAATTAAAACACCCAATGCTTGGCTGCGGGGGCGATGCTGTGGGCAACTTGGCTCGTGTGCCCAGAGAGCAGCTCTGCAGCCCTGGACCCACGGTGGGGGTGAGGATGGCGCGGAAGCCCAAGGAGAGAGCAGCTCTCTACTTAAAATGTCCCTGTAGTGCACATACTTGCTGAAGTTGTGAAGTGGGATGAAACATCTACTAAACCAGTAAAAATTTTTAAAAAAGCTTATTCATCTGAGTCCCTTCTGCCAGTATACATCTTAGCCTTGAGCATTTCCTCCCCGGCCCCCAGCTTCCGTACTTCTCTCCTGAGTAGACCCGGGCTCTGCGGGTGAGGGTGTAGGTTTTGGTGTTTGCTCCTTTCCGGAGAGGATCGTCCAGAGGGGACTGGCATGGAGGATCCTCCAGGGGGTTCCAGTAGCTCTGCTCACACATACCCCGCAACAAGATCTCCGCCAACTGCCTGGCGATTGTCTGGGAACATAAAGGAGGAAAGGCAGGGCCGTGAATCTCTTTAAATTACTCAGTCACTACATATTTATCAGCCATCACTTTGTGCCAGGCGCGATTCCAAGATTCATAATTTAATTTTTCTTACTTCAATGATGAAAATTATACTAGTTTAGGACAAAAAAAAAAAAAGAAAATATGATACACTAAGATATTTGAACATTTTTTTTAAAGGCTCATGTGTCTGTAGTGCTGCCCTGTTTCTGTTACACCCTAGAACACTAAACAAGTTTTATATCAGAACCAATGAACTTTTAGCTAAGCCCTTTTCCAAGAGCTCTTATAAATAACAGGTGAACCTCAGATATTTTCATCACCTCCCAACAGATGCCTGCTAAAGCTCTAATCTGGAGAAAAGCCAGACTCGACTTAGCTGATGCCTTTCCTGAAAAACATCTCTTCGTTGACCATATGATGCGCACGAAGAATTTCACAAAGTCCTCCTTCTCAGAATTGCAAGAGCCAACTGTACCTGGCCCACCCTTGGGACCAGCACCCAAGGGCTCTGTTCCAGTGTGGCCTGGGAGGCTCCCACCAGTCCTGTGTGACACAGAAGCCAAAATTGTATGTGTGGCTTCTGACAGGCATGTATCACCTCCTCGCCACGAAGACCCAGGAACACCTGGATATTGTCTCTTAAGCAGTGTCATTTAATATGTTTCCCTGAACCCTCTGTAACTCCACTGCCTAGAACAGTACTAAAAATAATATATGGGAGAGGTGTGTGGCATGTGCTAGGCAGTATTTTATTGATTGATGTGTGTAAGTTGAATTAGCTCATAATCTTCCAGTACAGGGAAAATGAGGGGAAATGCCCTTAAAAACAGAAGCACCATATCCCATGGTAGCCTGGGGCCTTGTGGTCAGCCGCAATACAATTTCACCCAGCAGAGTTTCACGGAACAAAGAATGCTGAGCTTCTCTAAGAATGAGCCTTTTTACATAAATATGTTCCAGAAGAGAACATTGCCAGCTTTCATCTGTGTGAAATCTCTTAACATTCCCCAAGGAAACTTAAATACAACCAAATCACTGGCTTGGCGGTTTCTGATAACCACTGGGTAAAGGCAAATTTTCTCAATTATTCCCGAGTAAGACCCACTGCTTTTAAATGTCTATAAAAATGCGAAATTAAATGCGCTCTGATCATCCCCAACTGAGTCATCTGTAAAGATCTCATAAGAACACAATTTTCAGGACCTAAACAGTTCCTGAGCTGTTTTCTTAAACCTGCCATTATAGTTTCATTCTGATCTCACTGCAGTCATATAGCTAATGAGTTCTGCTGCAAGCTTCAGCTGACAGAAATACTCTCCACTCACCACAGCTGAGAAATAAATGCTAAAAGGAAAGAAAGAGGAGGGAACGTCATTGCTGGCCATGTCTGTTATGCTGAGATTCTAGAGGTACAGAAACTTCTTTTTCTTCTTTTCTGTATCCACTATGAGATACTTTACAGTGTACAATCCAGTGGCATTGAGTACATTCACAATATTGGGCAACTATCACCTCTACCTGGTTCCGGAACACTTTCATCACTCCAAAAGGAAACACTACATGCTTTCAACAGTTACTTCTCACTTTTCCTTTCTGCCAGATCCTGGGAACAATTAAAATGCTTTCTGTCTGGTGTGTGTTTGCCATTTTGGACATTATGTAACATGGGTCCTTTATGGCTGGCTTCCTTCAGATAGCATGTTTTCCAGATTCATTCACATTGAGTCTGTCTTGGCACTCTGTCCATTTTGATTGCTGACTGGCCTTCTATTGTATAGCCATACCACATTTTGTTTACTCACCTTTTACTTGCAGGCATTTGGGTTGTTTCTACCCTTACTGTTGGAAGTAGTGGTAGTGCAAACATTCATGTGCAGTTTGTGTTTGAACACCTGTTTTCAATTCTTTGGGGTATAAACCTAGGAGTACAACTGAGTATGGGTACTTTTAAACCCTTCTCTTCTATGGTCTCACACCGGATCAAATTCACAAATAATTTTTCCATCTCACATGAATTTCACGAATTTGTAAACATTAGCTACTCTAAAACTAATCACAAAGTTATTAATTCAGGCTGATGGAAACTGTCTTATAAGTGACATCGGCTGAAGAAGCTTTCTGGTGTCCAGGGTGAACTGAGGCCCCAGTGCACAGGGACTCAGGAGGTGCTTTTCTGTAAGGCTGGCATGGGACTCACTTGGGGAACTTCAGGAACACCAGCTCTCAGGCTCTTCCTAGAACCACATGACTTGAATTTTTGAGGATAGCAGTGGGGACAGGTTATTTGTTCTAAGTCCCTCAGACAGATCTGGGGAATGCAGCTCAGTGACAGAGCTCTTGCCTGTGTGTGCCAGTCCCTGGGGTCACGCCTAGTGCTTGTAACAAACAAACCAAACACTGAAGTTCCTCAGATAAGTCTGATAGGCATCTCTGGTTAAGTGTTCAAGGAATTAGAAACAGTTTAACTTAGGCCACTTGAAGATAATCAGCAGAGACCAGAGTCACACTTGTACCTCAGTGTGATACATAATGGAAACCACTTCTGTTAACACAGGGCGCTGCCAGCGAAGGACCTGGGGGCAGCTCCTGGCCACCAGCCTCCAGGAACCTCTACCCGCCTTTCTGATTAATCACGGAAGAGACCTGGTCCGTTCCTCGTTCATATCTGTTCAGAATCTTATCTCACAGGACTTTCTTAAAAAGTTCAAATACATTGATTTGATAATCATAAACCTTAGACATCAATGGAAGATATTCTCTAGTTTAGAAAACTAACACTAAGAGGCTGGGGATTTAGCTCAGCGGCATAAGCGCCTGCCTTGCAAGCAGGCAGTTGTGAGTTCGATCCCCAGTACAGATGAAAGGAAAAAAGACAAAAAAAAAAAAAAAAAAAAAAAAAAAAAAGAAAATTAACACTAAGCAGCAGATCCCCACAGTGTATTGGGGATGCTTGCACCCTTTAATGAGGAAAACCTGTTGGTTTCTACAATATATAATATTATAATATCTATTATATAGTATAAAATATTGTAAACATACATATGAGTCAATATGTGACATAATGTATAATATATGTAAATATATGTAATATTATTGTGCATCGTGTTGTGATATACATGTTACAATATATATTTAAGAGTTAGTAAATGTGAACAAATGTTCCTTTTGAGTAACTTTGGAAGATTGGATTTTCCAATGTGCTTTTAAAGTAATTAAACACTTGCCAATTTAATCAGTTACTTTCACTGTGCTTTTAGATCTTGGAAGAAGCTATTCATACTAATCAGTCCAGAAGCTTTAAGAATGCTGAGGTAAGTCAATATGAGAAAAAGACAATCTGGAAACAAACTTTTAATCCATATTCTTGCTGGTTTTTCTGCCTGAAAGAACCCTAAAAATCAAAATGACTTCTTTGAATTTAAGGCACATGCAAATGGCATCAGTATATAAATACTGAAAACCAGGAGAGTTCATGGTGAAGTATGTGTGATTTTGTGTGTGTGTGTGTGTGTGTGTGTGTGTAAAGGTGTTAATCTTATCTCAACATCCTGATTCCATGAAAACCTAGATTAGCCACCTGGTTAAGTCATGCATGCACATTTTAAAATCTGTAGTTTCATTTCCTGTGACATGAGTCTCTTAGCCTTGCTCCACTGAATACTCTAGCAAACGTTTAAAGAATTCTTAACAAAGGAAGGAGAATAGCATGGCTGATAAAAGATAAAAGGAGCTGCAATCTTACAGATGGTCATTACATCAGTTGTGACAAGTGGCATTTGTTTAGTTTCTAGTAAACGCCAGGCCTCACCCACTGGCCATGACTCTTTGGGGTGAGCTACAGAGGTCTAATTCATGAATCTCCCAAAAGAAGAAAATGAAAGGGTTAAAAAGACAACAAACAGAACTTAACTCAACAGAATAGCCAACTTCCTGATCAACCAGATAATTTAACTCCCCTTCATTTCTCTTCTGAGCATTATGGTCAAAATAACTAATCAAGCAACCAGCATCCTTCAGGATCTTATTTGCACTGTTCTGTCTGGGTTTTGGTATGAATCATAAGCAGACAACTTCTTCCACACTGGCATTTGCGAATGCAGAATACAGCTCTTGTATTTCAAGGGAGAGCACTGCCAACAAGCACATAAAAGACACTCAGCATCACTGGCCACCAAGGAAACAGAAGTCAAAACCACCATGAGGTAGCACTTTTCACCCACAATGGCTACAACTGTAAAGACAATAGCAAGTGTTGGTTAAGATAAGCAGGAATGTACAATGGTGCAGCTGCTTTGAGAAATAGTCTGGCAGTCCCTAAAAATGCTGAACATAAGAGTTACACATGACCCAGTGATTCCACTCCCCAGTACATATCCAAGGAAAAGGAACACATATGTCTATTCTAAAACTTGTACATAAATGTCCGTAGTAGCATTATTTGTAACAGCCCCAAAAGGAAACAATTCAAAGGTCTATCAACTGATAAATGGGTGAATAAAACATGGTATATCCATACAACAGAATATTATGTGGCAGTTAAAAAAAGAAAGGTTAATAAATGCTGCAACACAAAGGGAATCTTGCATGTATTATGCTAAGTAAAGGAAGCTAGTCACAAAAGACCACATATTGTGTAATTCTATTTATATGACATGTCTAAATTAGAGAAATTCATAACAGAAAATAAATTAGTGGTGGTCAGGGGCTGGTGGAAGGGGAAAATGGGAACTGATTACTAATGAATACATTATTTTAGGAGTGATATAATGTTCTGAAATCAAACACTAAATAGTGATATTAGTGATAGCTAAACAAATGCAAATATGTTAACCACTTACCAGGTCCAATTATTTAAATACAAAGTGACCAAAAAAGTGCATATTTTCTCATTAATTTTTATAAGACAATAAAATTAGAAATATAAAAAAGAATTTTATCAAATTTATTCAATGGTTCAATATGACTATTGAAATGACAGTCAATATGTAAACAAATGCAATGCCCAAGTGATTCTCGGGGTAAATGATTGGTTAAAAACCATCGAAATGTATACTTCAGATAGGTGAATTGCTATCTATATACAATATGCTACATAGTTCAACATAAAATGTACACATATGGGACAAGGGTCCTGGTAGCCACAACCAAGTCATTAGTCACGCTTACCATCCGCAGGTTTTGTGTTGTTCTCGTTTCCACTGCTCTGAGAATCTCTCTAAATCTTCCAACTCCTCTTGTCAAGTTCCTGTGTGTACACAGAATTTGACAGGGTTTCCATCTGGCATATATTAATGTTAAATATTTTACACACATATTTCAATGCATTTTGTCTGTATGGAAGCTGTTGGCTAGATTCTAAGCAAACAATTATTCTGCACATGTCTATCCTATCTTTGGTGTGATCTGAAAAATCTGACCTAAGACTGATGGTTCTTTGTGCTTTCTAGCCCCAAACAAATTTCCTCAAGAAAATAAAAATTAGAAAATCAGTTCTGAGGTCAAAAGAAGAAGAAGGAAGAGAACAAGATCTCCTGCAAGGGTCTATCTACTATATCTCCAACTTGCAGTGGTTCCAACAGAGTGGTACTAACATCTCTGTTTTCATTTAAAAAGTAGGTGGCAACATTGGGCAAAGGATACAAGAATATCAGAAAGGCACCGAATGCAAGTCCAAGGCTTCTTGTTGCAAATGTACAGGTTGGACAAAGATAAATGGTATGAAAAATGATCAGCCCACCAGGCAACCACTGTGCATCTTTCAGATCATAAATCATTCCCAGGAAATCCATCAAATCAGCCCTCTTCCCAACCTTGCACTGACAAAAAGAAGCAAAGGGTCAAAGGCCTCTTTTTCTTTTTCTTTTCTGGGCAGGGCTGCAGATCAAATCCTGGGTCTTGCATATGTGAGGCAAGTACTCCCCTACTGAGCTGTAAACCCAGCCCTGAAAGCCCCTTCTGAGGGCAGAATGGTGACAGTGGCACCTGGGGCTTCCTGAAGGTGATCAGAATAAACCTGGTCTCACTGCCCTGCAAACTCCTGCATTTCATTCTCTAGTTACTTTGTGGTCAGTGTATCCACACCTACGTGTCCTCTCTGAACACTGGGCCCACCTTTTCAGCTGGGAACTCTTCCTAGCAGGTCCCTTTACGTGGAGTGTTGCTGCCACCTATGACATAACTCGGTGTTATTTATAACCCGCTCATTAGAACACATCTCAGCCTTCCAAAAAGCCACAGAACAGGTCATCTGGTGCAGATCTGTCAGCCAGCCTCTGCAGGCTGTGGCAGATGCTCTAGGTATTTAGCTCTCTTCTGGATGGCATTTTAAATCACATAGAGGTATTAAATCAAAATGTGGATTCTGTAAGTTACAAGCACTCAAAAGGGCTATTAATCTGCATCTTATACCTACACCTCTTCCGGGCCCTCATTCATAAGATCAGCCCAGGACTTTAAGACAATGGTTCACTGGCATTAGGTACACGAATATTCCCAGATTCTTCTCACCGACACATAGATCAGAAGCTTGATGTGGGCATAAAAACAGAAACCTGTGCTCGGGACTCCAAGCAACACTAATACAATCTAAAGGATGTGAGTAAACATTTGCAATCTACTCTGCTTTCTCTTCATTTGTTTTTATGGGATCCATGTTCACAGGCAACAAAGTACATTTCCTCTGGACTACAGCTCTGGTCTCTTAAGCAACAAAGGGGGAGGAAATAGCTACAACTAAAACAGAGATGAGGATGGCTAAGATAGTCTAATTTTGTTTCAGAATCAGTGATTAAGCTCCCAGTATGTACAAGTCACGGCACTTTGAGTAGGGTGAAACAGGGTGTGTCTCAGTCAGTATCCCTTGGAGACCCTGAAAAGAGGCTACTTTACCAGAGTGGAAATTAGGTCTAGAATCAGCAGTACCAAGCTAAATATTACATGTAACTCAGTAGGAATTGGCCATTCAGAACATCTCTTGCGCTCTCCCTGCAGAATTGCTATTTATATGTTATAGAAGCACAGAATTTTCTAGCTATAAATGATCCAACACAACCGAGCTCACACAGAAGGAAAAGAGCCTGCTCAGGTCCAAAACTTGGCGAGAGAGCAAGCTGGGAGCATTCCACCATATTCTATTACCTCCTTGGGTAAAAGAAATATAAGCTCTAACTCAGGAACGTAACTCTAGAGGAAAGAACAAATATGAATCCAAGAGCTCAGGTGTGTATTTTGTGCTATTAACATGTGTGTTACCTAAGAAGGAGAAGTATAATGTAAATCCTGTACATTCCAGTGATGACAGTTAAGATATTCCTAGACACTGGTTCAAAACTGGAAAGAAAATCTGTTGACCCGAAAAAGTCGGGTGCCTGAGGGTAACGACCTCAGCTGCCTAAAGAGATAAATAAATGATGGGCAGAGAAACTCAACTCCCTTTCAAGGGTCCAGGTGGTTTCTCCCATGAAGGACTGAGGCCCTCTGGTGGATAAACAGCAGAAAGCTATGTGCACTGAAAGATGCTGCACATGATCTGGCAAAACCAGCACGGGGTGCATGTTCCCCAGGAAGCCTCTGCAGCAAAGGCAAGCCTTTCTCAACCTTTTTCTCGCTTAGTCCTAGATGGAGTTTAGGATTCAGAATCCAATTCTTTCTCAAGCTGAGACGAATCCTGCTTCTAAATGAAGAGTCCACAGTAGGCACAGAATGGAAGAGGCCCAGCTGTGGCCCATGCAAATGAATGCCGCTCCCTCAGACAGCCTTGACCCACCACCTGCCCCACCACTGACCGGCCAAGCTGAGAGAGGAAAGCGGGCAGGAGCTGAAAGACTGCACATCTCAAGTATTAGAAAGGGCCACACGTTCCCCAATACCAAGGTATTACAATTCTAAGCAAACCCTAGGGACATTTAAATATAGACATTTAAAAATTACATAATGTGAACCAATCACTTCTAGTGTTGCCTCTGATACAGGAAAAAAAATTTTTTGAAACATGATAGGAACAACAAGAACATCAAAGAAAGAAGAAAACAGCCTGTAAGAATTATTTCTATATTATATTCACCCAATTTGGCAATCTACATGACTGCCTTCATAGCTCTAAACTATTAGGTTGTTCTTAAAATACTAAGATCCATTAAATATCTAGAATAACCTGCTAGTTAAAATTTCCACTCTAAAATGAAGACAAGAGAGCCAAGGAATTTCCTGGGTTTGTGGGTTTCCACAGACCCTTGATGTGAGGTCATTTACTCCATTTCAACACCCTTGACGAGACAGTGCAATGACATCAGCATTCATTATGGTAATCTGTCTCACAAGGAATGTTCTAGCCAGCATTCGAGCAGCGAGCACTCTGGCAGGCTGTCAAAGCTGGGGGTTCATCTTCCGTGCTGCGCTCCAGCACGCTTCCTAAACAGGGTACACTTCCCTCCAGGTGGGCCGGTTCCCAACAGCTTGGCTGTACTCAAGGCGAGGAGGGGCCTGTGAGTCCTCTGATGCCAGCTGCTTGCTCAGCTGGACAGGCAAGCAGAACCCTGTGTCCACTCACCAGCATCACTGCTGTGCCAACCCACCAGGGGGATACGGCCACATCCCTTGCCATGCTCTCGGCAAAGCCCTTGTTTCTCCTCTGCCAGCAAAGTCTACCACTTTCCACGGCGACACCTTCAGCTCTGCCCCAACCTACTTCTATCCTTTTTTTTGGTTCCATCCTTTTCTTTTTTCCTCCCTTTTCTATACGGTTCATCCTCCTTCTCAATCTGTTCCTTCCAGGACTTGTCTGGCTGGCCCTTTACATCAGTATAAATCATAACTTCCTGAAGGTCAGTGCCAGCCCCCAAGGCCACTGGGTCCCAGGGAGAGGGCAGCCTCGCCTGTATTGGACCTCGGTCTTGACTGTCTCTCCATGGGACAAGCTGCAGTTTCCCTCGGGCCCTGCACAGTATTTTTCAAGTCCTCCAAATTCACACTCAAGCATCCAGTTTTGTCCTGTGCTATTTTATGACCCTGAACAGTCTTGCCTCTCTGAGACTGTCTTCTCTGCCTCCGCACTGTCAAACCACAGGAGAGATGCTCTCAGGGAGGAAGCCGAGGCTCCGGCTCCAAAAGCACAATGGCAAACCCAGGCTGGGAGAAACTAGGGGAGTTAGAAACTTTTGCAGCCCAGGATGGACCAGCTCAACGCTGACCTCAACATATTTTTCTATTACTTCCCCTTCCATTTTTGAGGGGACAAAGATCGGATAAGACAATCTTCTTCAACATGTTCTTTCAAATATTCTTCTGACCTCCAAATTTGATCCAGGCCACCAACTTTAAATTCAGTATACTCTGCCTTTGTCATGTAAACTCAAAATTGAGATGTCAATAAAAGACTGGAGAACTGCTGCATGTCAGATTCCTGGATGATAAAGAGCAGGTAGCCTGAGCAAATCCAATTTCTCCTCTGGCTGAGAATTTTACAACTAAAAATCAATGACAGAAGGAGTCAGCACATAGATCTCTCAGAACAAATATGTTGTTTGACTTTTTCCAGATTCTTTCTTACCGATGGCATTTCTAGAGCATTTAAGCAGTTGATGGTTTCAGTAATCACTGAGCAGCATCTCCTGTCAGGTTCCTGGCTGGTCACTGAGGATACACTGGTAAACAGGGGACACTGTCCCTCCTCAGGGAGCTGAGGTGGCTTCTCATCCCCGCTAAACAGAAAGCGTCTCTAAGACAGAGGTCTCTGTCTTCCTCCTGCCATATCCCCAGCCCTTCCAACAGAGCCTGGCCAATCAGTGCTTTCTGAACAAATGAGTCAGAACCGTTCTGGGCCAAATAAACCAAGACCACAAGGGGATGCATTTTCTACCTGCTTCTTGTCCTCATCCTTCTCACTGAGCGTGGACTGGCAGACAGCAGATCTACGTGCTCTCTTAACTAGAAAGCATCAGTGGTATCCTTTCAGGGTAGGGGCAAACAGAGCTGTCCTCCTGGGCCAAGTGACAGGCCTGGTGTGCCTTGTCTGATAGGTTTAGAGAGCTGCAAGGGAAATGAGGGTTTCAAGGTAAAGGGAAAAACAAAACAAAATAAACCTTCCAGGTATTTTAGTAGAAGTCTGTGCTCCTGCCTGAAGATGTTCCTCTCCCTATCTACAGGGTCCCAGGGACACTGTCACCCATCAGGGCCCAGAGCCAAGACTTTCCTAGCTGTTAAAGTGCTCCAACAAGGATGCACACTTCTTACACCTAGAAAGTACTC